TCCGACTCTGATTCCTTACCTGAAATCTCAACCAGTGTTGGTAAGGACAATTCATGATTACATTAATTTGTATGTCAGACAGTCTGACTGGCCCATTTGCCTATTTCCATGTACTGCCATACATTTCTTGCATGTAACAGGTGCAACGGTGCAGCCAAATGCATTAGGTCATCATTTTGCTGGGACCTATTTATATAATCCTAAATGGCCTTGAGGCGTGACCCTTAAAAGTTCGTGAAATTAGCTCAGCCGATTGTGGAGTCTCAGGCAAACATGGTGCAAGAGCCATGATTCATGGTGTCTGTAATTTCTCTCCTCTGGACCCTACTCTAAAATGTTCTAATTAAAGTTGAATTCTATCCCCTGGTTACATTCTCTAAATGACTTATATTCAGATTTTTTACAATAAGTATAGCCTGGGTCATCAGCTAAGTGTCATTTCAAAACTTCATTAATTACTGTATAAGAATTACAAGTAGAGCGACCAATGTACAAGAAACCAATGATTATGTAATAACACAGTCTTAGTGCACCCCATTTAAGTTTAGATGTCCGTTATCCAGCATCTCCACCCTGGAGCTTTTCTCCTACTCCCTTGTATGTTAAATCAGTATTGTGTGAATTCAATGTAAAATGGAATATTTGTTTTCTCAACGAGGAGAAAACACAATTTTTCTTTACTAGCAGCTGTTAAGATATACACTCATAAGATGTTATGTATTTATCATAATACTTTAAGATGCAGATGATGTAATTTGTTACTTTAGTACTACAACTTACAAGGTGAATGATGCATGATATGAATTGGGCACCATATAAAGCCAACCATAATGACACAAAACTTACACAATTTCTATTCCAATGACACAGGAGCAGACAATATCATTCCCCAATTAATTGAAATGGGTTACCCAAAAGAGGCAGCTGGGGAGGCAGCAAAAATGTCTCAACAACTGAAGAGGCCATTGATTGGCTGGACACCAACATGGAAGATCCAGGTAATGTTCAATCCAAATCTGTCTTCCCACAGCAAACACTAAAGTTCATAATAAATGATCTCCTCTTTTCCAAAGCACACATTCAAGTTCCTAATATTCTTAAGCTAAATTGCCTAAATGTAGAATTTCCTCTTTAATTATGCAAATATTGTCAAATTAGATGTTTTAAGCTACAACTTCACTCTATATTCATACAATGAATGAATGAATGAATGGTGCTTTATTTCCATGCTGTGCACTTCACACTCCTGTGTGGTTATACGACTGACCGTTTGATTGATTGTATAACAGTGTAAACGGTACATAAATAAGAGAGGATCAGAGTGGTACAGAGATAACAAAATCATCCATGCAAGTGAAAAATGATGAGTAATTGAAGACATTCTATCAATTACCTTTTTCACAGCTAATATCACACAGAGCATCGTAGACGACATCACTGCCTCACCCAGCCCCAAAAGACGCCGCAAGAACGATGGAGGTATTGTATGCATGTCATTGAATTTTTGTATGATGCAGGATGATGAATACTCTGTCCGGAATCAAACCCATAATCTCGTCATCAAGTACGAGACTTCTTTGCATATTATTTGCATGTTATGAGGCAAAATCACTTGATGAAGGTATTAGGTCTTGGAACTCATTTTACATGTATAATTTTCAGTCAAGAAAATGGAATGTAGAAAATGGAATGAATTTATTTTCTCTATTTTGGATTCTGTTATGAGTGAACTACTAGAGATGAGGTGTTTACACGAATCATGTTGGCAAAGTTTTTCTTCTGTCAAATTTTATTTGACACTTTGGATGACATTCATAGTTTGTGCATTTATGGGAAAATCGGCATGTTTTACAAAGGGAGAAGAGGTTTTATGTGACATCTTAAGTGTCCGTATTCCAATATTCATGTGCAACTTATGGAATGTATTGGCAGCTTCCTTTTTTATGTACAATATGGTTAGAAAGTTTCTTCTTTGGAAATGGATAATAATTGATGTGCACTTCAATGTCATTTATACAAGTCAAGTCAGCAATGGCCAAGGGTAAAAACATACAATCCCTGAACCAAGGCATCATGAGTATTACAACATATAGCAGAAAAAGGTATCCCGTTAGCTATCAAACACCTGATATAGGATTTTTCTTACATTACAGAGACTGATGTTAGTAAACCTAAGATACAGATACAGAAACCTGTCACACAGAAGGCTACAGCGGCTCGGAAAGACCCATTTGTGTTGCAAATCAAGAAAGGCAATGTCACGGGGTGCCAGGGATGCCGAGAAGAATTTGGGAAAGTCGAGCCCCCGGCTAATGTGGTAGTACAGCACAAAAACCAATACCCCTACTTCAACCCAACATTGGGGATTGTGATTAATAAGTGGTCAAATGGTTACTACCATGCAAATGTGGGTTGCATCAAACCACGTTTCTTGGACTTTGATCCACGGGAGGTTACGGTGTCACCAGCATATATTTGCTTGTATATAATTTCATTTTATACTGTTACCTTTTATGTGCAAAATGACAATAACAAATAAATAAATGCCCTATACAGAAATGCCCTATGCAGAAATGTCCCATGCAGAAATGTCCTATGCAGAAATGTCCCATGCAGGGATGCCCTATGCAGGAATGCCCTATGCAGAAATGCCCTATGCAGGAATGCTCTATGCAGAAATGCCCTATGCAGAAATGCCCTATGCAGAAATGCCCTATGCAGGAATGCCCTATGCAGAAATGCCCTATGCAGGAATGCTCTATGCAGAAATGTCCCATGCAGAAATGCCCCACCGATGCAGAAGTGTCCCCCGTAGTAAAATAGATGATTGTTACTTCAATTTTTTGTCATCACTGGTATAATCTTTGTAGTTTGTTTCCACCTAAACGTTTGAATTGTCTTTTTGACCTTTCGTCCCTATGGGCCACCGTACTCTTTGAGCCCCGCCCACTTCCGGTGTCAGTTTTCCAAATACGGGGGCAACCAGCTGGAGATTGACAGTAGGGCATTTCTGCATGGTAGGGCAGTCCTGCATAGAACACCGGCCTGGATATCGGCTCGTCCTCTGACTCAGAAGCTGGAGCGAAGACAACGCAAGCGAGCCCTTCTCTAGCTCTCCCCGCTACCGTAGACATAACAAACTCACTCAGGAAGAAGAACTTCAGAAGCTGTTAGAACTGAAGAACAGCACGGCCGGTGCCACAGCGGCCCTCAGCGCACAGGGTGTCACCGCCGGGAAATATGGTCTGCCGTCTGGGTTCTTCAGTTGGCAGGGGGACGTCCGTGCTGCCAACATGGCGTTTTCTTTCGCTGACCAGTTTTTGGAAAGTATTGGAATTTCCACTGACGAGTTCCTGACCCAGCCCGATCCGTTTGAAGGCGAAACCATGCATCTGGAGCCAGTAGAGTCATCCACCTTTAACCTGACTTATTCCAGTTCGTCGGCATTTCATCCCAGCAGTTTTTGTCCCAACCTAACCCATTCTAAGTTGCAGTTTATACCAAGCCTCAAGTTCTTCCCCGGACCAGCCCCCTTTCCCAGCCAGATCCATTTGAGGCTCCAGTGGATATCAAGTGGATACCTGAACTTCTTAGACAGACACGACGTCAGATTTGCGGAATTCCACAAAGCCCTTGATGCGAGGATGAAAGAGCTGGCGGCCGACGGGGTTGGGGCATCCACGCGCCAAGCTGATCCTCTCACACCAGACGATGAGGACAAGCTGTGGACATCGTCCACCATCTCCACATACACAGCGACAGGTTTGTCGTATGGAGTTTTCTTTTACAACTGTTAAGTGTTCGGTATGCGTGCGATAGACGAGCACCGCCGGCTACAAGGTGATCAGTATAAATTCGGGACTGACAACATGGGAGCATACATTCGGGACTGACAACATGGGAGCATTATTAAGTTATTAAGTTTTTCATAATGTAATTTACCAACTCAGATGAATTTTCAAACATGGGAGCATACATGGACTATACAGGCCGTGTTTGCAAGAACGTCCAGGGTGGCCTTAATCACCGGCAAGTGGAGGTCAAGAAGATCCGTCAGCATGCTGACAATCAGAACCCACGCTGAATCTTTTTAAGCCTACATCATCAAGTCTCTGCCTAACCTGGTCCCAGACTCGCTACACGGTAACCCGCTACGCAAGAGTCTGGCCAGACAGGATCTATCTGTCTCTCGAACGCTCAAATTCTGAGCGTACAGACAACCAATGGCGCAGCAGAAGGGTCAGCACAGTCCGTACGGGCTCTGGTAGTATCGTACTTAACCAACCACTCTAGTTGGCCCGAACTTACAGAAGAGCCGTTGTCAGATTATCTAGTCACTAGTAATTTTGACACCTGGGAGGAATACCTGACTAAGTTAGCCGTCAGCGGAAAGGTCTGGGGAGATCATATGACTCTCGAAGCCCTAGCGCGTGCAGTGGGGATAGGCATTCGCGTCGTCAAGGTAACCAATGGGGCGGCAGGTAGACCAATAGAGGTTGTCCCGGGAACGAATCACCTCGTGCTTGGGTGCCCTCGTGCTAGCCTTGGGCTAGAAAACAGACATTATGTTTCCCCAGGCGGTGCCTCAATCAATTCCCTACAAACTTCTACCGCTCAAGAGCCCTGGTTAGCTATCATGGGACTGGATGATATAGGTGCGGCGCAGCTAAATGACTCTACGGTAGACCCTGTCCCTAGGGATAAATTTGCTGGAGAGGTTAGACCCGACAAAACGGCCCTAGCCAATGTCAGCCTCCATATCTTAGAGCTGTATAAGGACTGGGACCTGCTAAACGTCACGGGCAACGTTCTGTATAGGTTTTGACCGCAAGAAAATGGTCCTGTAAAGAAACAGCTAGTGGTCCCAAGGGTGTTGGTTGCTAAAATTCTCAATAGTGTCCATGACGACCCCGCAGGCGGGCACCATGGAGTCGTCAAAACCAAGGAGAAGGTACTCCGCAGTTTCTACTGGCCGGGCCTGACCAAATACGGTATTGTCCATGTCACCTGCTGTGACACCTGTGCTGTGCTGTGACAAAAGGGAGGGGGGGAGGAGGAAACCCCGTGCTCCGCTACAATCGAGTGATGTAGGGTACCCCAATAAAAGAAACGCTATTGATATTGTCAGTCCCCTCCCAAAAACAGCAGCGGGTAATAAGTACGTGGTGGTTTTGTCAGACTACTTTTTGAAGTGGGTAGAAGTATTTGCCATACCCGATGGAACAGCATCTACTGTTGCTAGGGTCATATTCGAAGGCTGGGTGTGTGTCCATGGGCCCCCCAGAGCGGATTCATACGGATCAGGGCCGTAATTTCGAGTCCACCCTGATCGCAGAACTATGCAAGTACATGAGGATTGGGAAGACACGCATTACTCCGTATCACCCTCAGTCCGATGGTATGGTCGAACGTTTCAATCGAACACTAGGAAACATCCTAAGGGCGTATGTCAGTGCAAATCAGAGAGACTGGGATGTTCATCTCCCCATGGTAAAGTTCGCCTTCAATACGAGTGAGCACTTTACCACCAAATTCACCCCCTACTTTATTATGCATGGGCGTGAGGCTCGGTTGCCGGTAGAACTCATGTTTGGCATCCCCTCTGCAGTATCTGCTCAAGTACAGGAGTACGTCAGGGATATGGTGGACAAATTTCCCCAAATATTCAAATTTGTGTCCGACAACACTTAGCAGGCAAACAAACGCCAAAAAGAATTGTTTGACAAAAAGGTCTTTGGCGCCCCCTTTCAAGAAGGGGACAAGGTCTTGGTAGCCAGAAAAATGGTAGGTAGGGGCCTCGCCAGAAAGTTAGCTCACAGGTACGATGGACCATTTATTGTTGTCGAGAGGGTTGGCGAAAATGCCTACCGCATACGCAACCCTAGGTCAAATGATAGCAAGGTTGTGCACTTTGAAAATGTTGTATCCTACAGGGAAAGAGAGGAGAACCCTGTGCCTCCAGTTCCGCTCCGACGTCCGCAGCCTCGTAGGGCACTTAACCCGGCAAGAGGTCCCCGGCAACGGGTGACCCGCCGACCCCCGGCCCTCGTCTTTTGTCGTTTCAGAATCATCCTCTGACAGTGATGACGGTGGAGACGACACTGTCTGTGAACAAACCAGGCCGGAAGACGTCCCGGTGGGCAGCGCAGCCCAGCCCGGTGAACAGACCGAGGTGGCAGCCCAGGCCGACGGCAAGGACCTCGCACCCGTGGCCCAGCAGAACTCCGGACCTGTGCCCCAGCCAGATGCTCCCCTGCTAGCAGACGTGTCCCTGCCGAACGCTGGACCTGTACCCCAGCCGGATGCTCCCCTGCCAGCAGACGAGGCCCAGCAGGACGAGGCTCCCGTGGCCGTGGATGAGGGCACCACCGACGAGCAGACTGACAGTGCACGTGACGCGACCGGCGACGGTGGAGATGGCGACCACAGCGACGATGAGGAAGGCCCTTCGTCGCAACCACGCCGCTCCAGCAATCCACCAGAACGCTACGGACTCTATGTAAACAATGTACAGTTGTCTGGACAATATACAGATCCTGATAAAACATTGTCTACCTACAGCAAAACCACGAACGCTCTGAGTGACTCAGCACAGGTAGCTTGGCAGCGGTCTGCACGTGTTGGTAATCATGCCAGCGAAGAGTCCGTCTGTGGAAGGACAGGTAGCTCTGCCATTGGCTGAGTTTCAGAGAAAAACATACAAAATAAAATTGAAAGTATGTGCTCACAGTGGCATTTGTTATATTATTGATGGGTCACCGTGAAACCATATGTCAGCACGGTAAAGCAGAACGTGAAAATTCACTCCAATATTTACGGAATATTCATAACTATGCCACAGATTTTACAGAATTCTCACTACAGTCTTGGAGCCACAAGTAGCCACGCTCCAACAAGCGACAAGGTCACAGGAAGCCACGCCTCTTTCACTCTTGGAGCCACAAGTAGCCACGCTCCAACAAGTGACAAGGTCACATGAAGCCACGCCTCTTTCAGTCTTGGAGCCACAAGTAGCCACGCTCCAACAAGTGACAAGGTCACATGAAGCCACGCCTCTTTCACTCTTGGAGCCACAAGTAGCCACGCTCCAACAAGCGACAAGGTCACAGGAAGCCACGCCTCTTTCAGTCTTGGAGCCACAAGTAGCCACGCTCCAACAAGTGACAAGGTCACATGAAGCCACGCTCCTACTAGTAATCCTGCTAGATCATATACTGACAAGCAGGAAACTAAGGGACTGTCTCGCAAGACGAACAACCCCACATGCGAACAAACACGTGACTGTTCGGATCACACGAGCGAGAACACAGGAAAACTTGTCTTCACAAGCATGACTGACGCTCCTTGAATTCAGAGCTTGGAGGGGGGACACCTGCAGCTGGAAAAAGAGTCTAGTGGGAGAACAGAGATGAACAGTTTGCCAGCAACTGCAAAGAGCCACGCTGGTACGAATCAAGAAGCAGCAGCCATCCACCCACAGCTTGCAGCAGACACCAGCTGTAGAAAAGCCAGATTCTTCGTTCTTCATGAGGCCTTGGTTCACACCAAAAGACAGTCACGCCCCATTCAGTCCTGGAGCCTCAACAAGTAGCCACGCTAATACAAGCGACAAGGTTAAAGGAAGCCACGCCCCATTCAGTCCTGGAGCTTCAACAAGTAGCCACGCTAATACAAGCGACAAGGTGACAGGAAGCAAGGATCGTACGAATCAAGAAGCAGCAGCCATCCACCCACAGCTTGCAGCAGACATCAGCTGTAGAAAAGCCGAAGAAATCTTCATGAGGCCTTGGTTCACGCTAAAAGACACACAGAAAGCCACGTCTCTTTCAGTCATGGTACCAGTATATGATTTCATGGCGACCCTTCCTTTGATAGGACATACCCAGTTACATAGTTCTTTTTCGGGGGGGGGGGTTCTATGTGTGCGACCTATATTTAACTCCTGAGTGAGAGAGAAAACATCCTCTATGTGTGCAACCTAAATTCAACTCCTGAGTGAGAGAGGAAACATTCTCTATGTGCGTACCTATATTTAACTCCTGAGTGGTATGCTACTGAGAAGAGGCGATCCACCCCTTAGGAGGCTCCTGAGCAGGTTGTTGAAAGAGGATGACATCAGAAACAGAGATCGCATGTCGGTAGACTGTCACCAGGCTGACACAACCACAAGTCACACAGGCTCTGCGAAGCACCGGCTGGGTAGTATGACACAAACAAGCCTGGCATGTACCCACACCTCGTTGCCATCACCCTGGGCCCTTTCATTAACATTATCATTAATCTTGAATCAACGGACATCTTGGACCGGGAGGCGCGCTGGTTTGAACGTGGAGTCAAGGAGGCGATTTATGAAAGACTTTATAAACCATCACTCAACAGGAAGGGAGGACTTAGAGTTGAACTTTCAAGTACATGGGATTCTACTTTACAGCATATCTAGGGACTCACTTATCTTTATCATTACATTAGTTAATACTTTACCATGTGTATTGTATATAGAACCTATAGAACGCTTGTTGCTAACTTATTATTTGTTTATTTAGAACATAAATACTTTTAGAATTAACGGTGCCGTTCCGAGTTCTACCGCAATTTTGAATATTTCACTGATGAAAGATGCCGGACGGCGTCTGAAACGTCTGACATTATTTTCTTATTTTATCCAGAAGTAAAGATTCAAACTTTTCTTATTAGTATTATCCTGGATGATTAATCTTCACAAACGTATTATCATTAATAGTAAGTATGATTTTTCTAACAGGTTATCCTGAAGCCTAAGAAGAACACGGTGTGTAAAGTTGTACTGACTGCGAGTAACTTCAACACCTCCCAGTGCAACTTGACTAAACTGAACTGCTGACTTTCTTTTTATTACATTACACTCATTCTGATGCACTACCCTATCTGTTGTTTCAGGCAGACAGTATTATTAGATTTGGCCATAGCAGCGGCGTCGTAGGTGACCACGGTATCGGCGGCGGGCGTGGAGTCGGCAGTGACAGCGGAGTCTTTTCTCTTTATCTCTCTCTCTCTCCTTTTTTTTCTGCAGTCTGTATCCGGGGTATTGTTCTTATTCACTGAAGCACCCTGAGGTAATCGTGGACAACTTTGAAGATCTCAGCCACTTCTATGGGGTGATGAAGTGCAAAGTTCTACCACCACCACGACTTCTCCACCCTGTGCTGCCGTGTAGGGTAGGGGTAAGCTAATGTTCCATCTATACAACCCATGTGCGCATAGCCTGCAGCAAACCCCATGTACGCATAGTGACGAAGATCGCTCTTTTGTAGGTACTGACAGTGGAGTTAGAGATGGCTAGACAGAAAGGATGTGATATTTATGAAGTGCATCACTTTCCAGAGTCATCTCATACAATGTTCACAGAGTGTATCGACATGTTCTTGAAGCTTAAACAGGAATCAAGTGGTTGGCCAGGGAGGAGAAAGAGACGGAATATATCCAAAAGTACAAAGAAAACGAGGGCATAGAGCTAGACAGAGATAATATCAAATCGAACCCTGGAATGAGAGCCCTAGCAAAGTTGCGCCTAAACTCCTTCTGGGGGAAATTTGGAATGCGTAGTAACTTCACGAAAGCAGAGTTCGTCTCCTCTCCAACCAGGTTGTTTCATTTGATTAGGGCGACTGATATTGAGATTAGAGGGTTAGATTTCCCAACTGATCAGATTGCCGAGGTGCACTATGCCAATACAACTAACTACATTGCCTCACCACCCAACACAAACATCTACATAGCAGCCTTTACCGCTGCCAGCCTTTACCACTGCACATGCTCGTCTGAAGCTGTTCAAGACTTTAGATATGCTAGGAGACGCTGTGCTCTATTATGACACTGACTGCATTATCACAGGGTAGAGCTACCTGGGAGAGTTCACCAATGAAGTTAAGACTAACGCCGGGTATATCATAGAATTCTGTAGTGGGAGGTGGGAGGTGGGGGGGGCAAAAACTACTCAAAGCGGCAGACGGTACAACTGTCAGCAAGGTCCGAGAGTTTACCCTGAACTATCAGAATCAGAAGTTGATCAACTTTGAAGTGATGCGAGACATGATACGAGGGGATTGAGATAAGAGTGTTGACATTGTTTCGGAGCATAAGATAACCCGATACAGATACAGTAAGCCGTTTATAACCAGTTTACAATAAGCGTGTTGTGCAGGACGATCTCACATGGTCCTATGGTAACTGATGTATTTTTGAGTGAGGTGACGAATTTGTTTCTATAGTGTTTACCATTCTGTAAATACAAAGTTTGCACAGTTAGCAAAGCGCCATTGTACCTGAAATGAAAAGCTTTGTATTTTCAATAGACTAGAAACAAATAATTCGGCACATTTGCACAACACTAGGCTGGCACAAAAAGGAGCATTCCAGCAATCTAAACCTAAAGCCAACGCCATGACTCGGACATTCGTACACAGGTGCATTAAAACATACAACACTTTGCCTACTCACATCACATCCTCAAACCCACGAACGTTTAAAGAAAAAATCTGGAATTGGACAAAAACACATAAAAACAAACACACACCAATTTACTCCTGGTGATAAACGTTTTGAATATATTCTGCACAATTCCATGACCACTGACCTCTCAGACATTTATTACATAATTGTTTTTTTGGCTAACTGTATAGTGTAATATTATTGATTAATGGCTGTATAGTGTAATATTATTAATTGCTGTAATAATTGATGCTTAATGTGTAATTTACTATGTTGATAAGATAGCATAATGTCATTGATAGCAGTTGAACGTGTATGTAAATAATAGTTGTATTTATGTAAAGGACTCCAGGAAGAATAGTGATGTACATATTATCACTAATGGGAGATTTCTAAAGAAACAAACATTGCACTTAACATTGTGTAATATAGAGTATTTCACAATCATCAGAACCCCATTGTACATTGATTGGATTGTGTATCTGTAATTCTGTATCGAAGAGAACTTTGTATAGTATGAATGAAAGGGAAATAAATGTACTTGTACGAACCGTGTTAGACGAGGCAAGATTCAGGACCTGAGGCCGTGTTCAGTGAATACACCATGGCCTTTCACCAATACCACACACGTTTTGACTATGAGACCCAAATATCGTTTGATCTCGTGAAACCAACCAACCGAGTGCGTTGCCAACGTGGGCGTTTCTGTAGGTCGCCATGGAAACCGGCGGACCAATGGGATCGTCCTGGCGCTGTCAGGACTCTTGGCTCTGGTGAGTTTCGTCGCCCTGCTGTTCATGGTGCGAGAGTTTACAGGAGAGCAGTATTGAGTCTCGGACTACACTCGCCGTACATCGAATATGAGAAAAGACACGTCTGATCGGGAGAAAAAGAAGAGACAGATTGAATGAGATCCCAGACGTTTGTCTAACCGAAGAGGCATGCAGTTAATGTTTTGTGCCAGACTTGAGTAATCACAGCGAAGTTACATTGTTTGCGAGAACTGCATTAAATCGCACAAGTCTGTACGGAAGAAGGTAAAGAAAACTCAGATATTGGAGAGGCATAACAGCTGTTCAAACGAGGAAAGGCGGTTTTTGTTGGGTTGCTCTGAACGTCTAAAACACTACTTAAAATAACCAGGACATCTGCTTGGAGATTACTGGATTGCGCACACCATCAGAACACGTGCACACCGCGTGCCATCTAGTTACTTTGCCACATTTCAGCCATGATGCCAATGACCGTCGACGCGTCTTGGGCACATCAGGTCAAGAGAAGGACATTACATAGAATGTTATTGGACGAACCTGTTGTTACCGCTAATGTAAATTCAGCAAACTTTCACATTTTAACTATAGTAATTTGTTAAGAAAGATACATGTATGTCATCGAGTAACACATGTATAGTTAAACTAATGTTTATGCATGACATGTTTTTCTTAGAGTATATGATTTATAGCGTTGGCTTCACGCTGCACATAAGTGAGGTCCGAAGCGGTCGTCAGCTCACTCTTGCCAGGACGATGGATCGGAAGGAGTACCCGTGCAAGAGGTGTCGGATACTCGGTAAAGACGTGTTGTTGAAGGGACACAAGGCAACTATCC